ATAACTCAATTTTAGGCCACCTTTTTGCCGTGCTTTGTAGCAAAATGAATGAAAAACTGAGCAAGAATAGCTGTAGCAAGGAGGAGATTCAGCCTTTGAATAATCTTGTTTAATGTTTGCAATTACTAATCTACGTAGGGTGTTGTGTGCATGCATAATAAAGGCTTTAATCTTCATCAATATTGCTATCACGTTTGTGAACTATCTGTCTGGTTTTCATATTTTCTGTCAACACTGACATTCGTTTTTTTTTATTAAGACGAGATCCTGACACACAGTAGGTTCATATATAACAGTACCCAGTCTGAGTCAGCGCTTTGCGTAACGGGCTGCCATCTTGGATGAGTGTCAAAACTACTTCGGGGGCGGGCCGGGGCAGTATGGGAGGAAGCGTGAAAAATAGAGGAACTATAATAGCTGTAGTCACACTACGCACTTTTACCTAGGTAAAATTGATTTACCTGGGGCAAATTCATCAAAAATCTCCCAATGTAAATTCATCTCGGGTTTTACTTTCACCTAGGTAAAAATTTCTGGGAAGGTCAGACACACTACTGATATCGGCTCCCAAGGTTTTCATGCATAGTTGAATTTTATGGAGCGTAAATTCTAGAAGACACGATGCGCAGGCATCTAGCCGATCAAAGAGACATTTTTTTCTTTTATCTCGCTGTTATTTCGTACGCTAATTCAACGTGCAAGGTGAAGACAGGCGAAGACGTAGTCGAGTCGGGCGCCAAAAATTTCTTTCACCACGTGAGCTATGTCCGGTTCTGTCATCAAGACCTTCGCCGATGAGCGTCTATTGGCCAGCGACCTCGGGGTTTTTTTTTCCCCAAGCCATCGCAAGGGAAACCCTATTGTTCTCGAGACATATCCAAGCCCCAGACGAGAAAATTTCCCCGAGGTAATTAAATTACCCAGGGAAAAATAGATTAAGTTTCCCTAGGTAAACAGTCAACAAATCGTACGAGTTTACCTAGGTAAAAAGTTTGTAGTGTGACTACAGCTAATAACATTACTGCAGCTCGCGTTCAGGAGGCGTGACAGGAATTTCACGCCTTTTACCATTCATTAGTTAAGAAACTCAGCTGGCGATGAAAAACATGTCAGAGACATTCAGCATCGACTACGCGTGTTTTCAAATATCTCCTTTCGAAACAGTGATCTTATACAGTTTCTGGGACATTCCTCCAAATAATAAAATCAGGAAAAGTGCACAGGTGAAACATTTTCCTAATCGCAGTGCTAAGCATGCTCGCCTCACCACCGATTAAAACCTACGGTTAAACCTCCCGATGAAAGCTAGGCATTTCTGACAGGTCGTCCTTTTTGCGTCGGCGTAGCGTTAAATTTCAGTTCGTTTGGCAAAAACTGTGTTACAACATTCCCCTGACCGGGCTGCTTCAAAGGCATATTGGCTTATATATTACGTAATTCATCTGCAAAATACCCAAAATCCTTCGTGTGTTTGCGCAAGATGTGCCTTATGGTAGTATTATGAAAGCGTACGTTTTATAGAAACCAAGGCTTGTCGACGACTTGTCAGTGTCGGCAACTTAAACTAAACCCGTTGTCAAAGGCAAATTAACATCCATTGTCTAATGACCAATCAAACGCACGCGTTGCGGGTACAACGCGCTCCGTGGACGCGAGCTGCAGTGATGTTATTACAGTCCCTCCATTTTTCTCGCCCCCCTCCCCCTAGAGCTACAATCCCCGAGGCCCGCCCCCCTCGATACATTTGAAAATGAAGATGGCCGCCATTAACGGTAAGACGCACTATATCTCGACGAACTCACGGTTAATATTCCAAAAATTTAATATGATGCATGATAACGACGTCTTTTTTTCCTTCTTGATGACTTAACCTCAGGTTAGAATGGAAAAAATCAGCCGATTTTTCAGGTGGTTTCAGAATATTTAAAGTTCCCATTTGAACTAAAGGTAGATTATTTCATACTTTTGTTTAGTTCTTGTTTCCACTTTCGCCATTTTTCTTCCATTTTTTGCTTTAATCAAAAGAAGATTCACAAACAACGCAGAGCAGTTCAGTCCTGTTTATTCGAATGTGTACGCGTTCAAGCGTAAACTGAAAATAACGACGGCTTATCAACATGTTGTCACTCAGTTCTAAGAAATCTTCCAGACATCTCATATCATTGCGTCAGTAAGGTAGATTTTCATCTGATTTTTAGCTTCATCTTGTTTCAATTATCGACTAATTAATTCACTCTCTTCGCCTCAAAAGCTTCACCATAAGAACCGTAAGAACACAGGAAATCACTGCGGTTTCTCTCTTCTTTCTTCCAAACCTTATTTTCCTTATGGGGAATAAACCTTTGTAAAGCTACTGCAGTATCAGTTTTACTAGCTAGGTCACAAAGCTAGGCCATCAAAATTTTGTACGCTGAATCTAAATCAGAATAGTTTACTTCAGTCTTTCTCTGGTGCATTTTCAAATGTCACAGACTCATTTTTGTGTTAATCCTTTAGCTTGGCCAGTAACTCTTTTTTGTTCCACGACAAGCCAGAACACAAACAAAATTTTTAACGTGAGTAAAGTTATATGTAAGGAAAGGCCTCTTTTATCCCACCAAGATTTGTGTACGCCATAAGTCAAATTTTATAGCCCATGACTTTGCATAAATTCCAGAAATGCTATTTTTATCTCGGTCATCTTTCTGCTAACTTACGATCAAAACAATGAAAAACCTCACCGAGGTCAAAAATAGCTTCCTTGATCCGGTTTACTAATCATTTCTTTCGAAGACAAGCATCGCTAACGTATTTGTAGAATTTCTCATTCTTTAGCTCTCACAAATGAATGGAAAAATATATTGAGGTTTTTTCCAGGTGAATTTCACTGCCTCCGAGAGCAGCCTTCTCGCCTCTTCGCGCCCGGACTACGCTGCTCCGATCACTTGGCAAACAGTGATGTCGCGGACATGCGCAATAAGTCATTCAGCCCTGTCATGTGCAGAATTTCGTAGGCTGAGCTTAAAAATTATTTTCGTTTACATTATCACGAATGTTTTCAGCTATCTGTTGGTGTAAAGTCGGAGAATTCTGATGAGTTTTTACATGCAAAAGTGTTCATAGTGTTTTAATTTCTCCATTCGATCCGTTCGTGTTGAAACAAATCAGACATGTGACTTATGGCGTCCATAAGTCGACAGGAACATCAAATTATGAAGAATAGAGCAATTACAGGTAAACAAAAACTCTTATCTTTAACTGATAATGCGAAAATCAATTAGCATAACGTCGCATGACTATTTAACAAATTTATTCCATGAGCGCGCGTTGGATATGACATGGTAGGGACTTTAAGATCCAACGACGCGGACGGCAACGAGAACGTCAAAAAAAACAATTGGTTTAATAAGCAAAACAACAACTTCGCACGTGCATCACGCTTTTTTGTACATTTCTTTCCTGTTTTTGCACGACCACGACGTGAAAATGCCTAATTTGGCGTTTTATGGAGGACGTAAACAAGCAACGACGAAATTTTATTTCTCTTTCTGAGCTTGGATGTGGTCCCTTGAAATTCAGCTTCAGGAGGGTTCGCCTACATTTGACAAAGTAAAGAGGGAGGAATAATCGCTATTAAGACTGAGGGAACGCAAATTCACTTTTTAAGCGACGTTCTGGTTACCGTCGCATCGTTAGATCTTAAAGTCCGTGGTAAATAGCCAACGAGGCGCGTAGCCTGTGGTTCAATTGAGCGAATCTCATAGCATTTTAATTAGCCATGATTCTGTGCAATCCTACATAAAAACCTCGTACCTGGCAGGGTTCTCTCCTACCCATCCACCTACCCATCCACCGACAACTTGACTTGGGAAATATGGCCTAAGTCAGAATATTTTTCCAGCAAAAGCATAAAATGAATTTATTATATGTGTCGAAAGTTTCGAGAAAACTTAACATTAACCTCTATTTAAACTACCTGAGAAACAGTTATTTAAGCTTATCGACCGTTGTATGGTGCGCCCCTTTCGTAATAAATTACTACTGAAAATCAGCACATTTTACTCGCTCCAAGTCTGTTGTGTGTAAAGAGTTGATTTACGAACGAGTGAACTTAAATTTGTGTTTGGTTCATGAAGTTTAAAAGGGAGTGTCTCTCAGATTTCATAGTCAAATATTTTTCTGAGATAAATGTCAAAAATTTCTGTGGAGAGTTATGAAAAGAAAACAAAGGAGAAAGCAGTTAAAATGAAACTATGGCTTTCAGGGCATGTAAAAATGAACGTATCTCAAGTTATACGTGATTTTAGACCACAGAGTCAGAAAGGTTTCATGCTGAAAACTGTCGTGGGCAAAAGTGATATTGGCGACAAATGTTGGAAGTAAAATGTTAAATGAGGAGTTATCCAACAAGTCGATGAACACTGAATATGCGGATACTACGATATTATTTAGCGGATAAAAAAAAAATAATTAAAGAAGAAAAACATTAAAATGAATAATTTTTTCAGGTCATGTAACAATTTACACGCTCGCATTTTGAACGACTTTTTTAGCTCTTTGACGTAGCGTGTTAAAATAAATGATTGATTGATTGATTGAACGCCATATTTTCATATGTTGCCTATCGAAAGGTTTGTAGCAAGTTTTGGAAGACTAGACATCAAGGGTTTCGCGTGAAACTTTATGCTGGAAAAAAAAAAGTAAGGAGCAACTTTAAGGAACCCGACCATAAAAAAGGTATTTTTAACGTTACACTTACTCCATTGTACAAATAGTAATTATCTCCTGTAGTAGAGTTAATTGAAATCCACCTAATTATTAAAATACAATGGGCTAATATTTTGCCGATCATAAATTAAAACCGAGGATTCAGCAACGTTTATTTAGTTGTGCCAGCTATATAAATTATCAGAAGACCTTTGGGCAGCGTTTGTATAATTTTGTTTGCCCACCTGTTTTGAGCTTTCGCCGATTTCTGCCTTAAACCAATGCGAAAGAGGAACTGTGGACAGTTTTCATCTTTACGGCCCAAGGACAGATTCGAACTAAAACACCCTTTATTTGTGGACTCATTTAGCTTTAAGGATAAATCATACTATTGTATGATGTTAGGTCCTTTCGTATTATTGCTCTCTGCTGCCACGGCCTGGAGTCAATTAGGTAAGTGAGGGATGCGATGATACAATCTTACCTGAACTTCCTTGACGTTCACCCTGTTGTTACTTTAACCGCCTTTACTGATTATCTACGTCTGATACTATACTATTATCACTGTTTGCACCGATTCGGGAAGAGACATTGTTGAGAGTACTGACAAAGGCATGAAAGTATTAGTAGCCCACTTCGAACTCGTAGTTCTTTTAAGCCATTCCTTTACTGTGATTCCAAAGTCTTGGGCGTAGTTCAAAGTACTAAATGTTTTGTGTTGAAGTGAGAAACCGCGTGTATGTTTTCCACCTGCGTTCACGTTGACAGACGTTTTTTGTACAGATTTTACAGATTTTGCCGACATCCTCTTTCGCGTCTCAATGTTACCTTTTTCGCAGACGTACCTTCTTCGCTTAGTTCAAAAGCCTCATAAAGATATCCGAGGGTTTTAAGAGATGAAACTGCCGAAACTGTTTCAGAAATACCGGTTTAAACACTAGCTTTTCTTTCTATTAAAAAAGTCTCAATAGTAAGAACTCCAACATCAGTTCCAAAAAATTAATTATTTCTCGTAAGTAAAAATTCCATGTACAAGAAAGATTGCTGATTTCTTTGCACCTTCAGAAATTCTTTTTTGCCAAATCCAGTGCTAACAGTCACAGCTTTTTTTATTTGGGTAGTAATGTTTAACTTGACGATCTTATTATTGTTTCTGTGAAAACAGTATTTTCCTTTTCCGAACACAGAAATCTTGTAAATATTAGAAGATGAATTATTCGTTGAGAAAACTAACACTTTCTGTTTGTTTGGTACTGCCCTCTGGTGCCTTTTGCACATAGTAATATCTAGTTAATGTGCCACTGGGTCATCAGCGGAACAGAAAAATATCAGAAAATAACATTTCTGTTTGCAAGCCTTTGTTGCTTTCATTAACATTAATATAATATCACTTAACTGTTAACTTTTCATTTATCAGTTAACTACTAATTTTTTGGCCAGTTATCAGTTAACTACTCTTTTTTTTTTCGCCAAATATCAGTTAACTGTTAACCCCATTCGCACCGTCGTTCTGGTCGTCCTTGAATTATACGTGTACGCCATAAGTCAAATTTTATAGCTTATGACTTTGCATAAATTCCAGAAATGCTATTTTTATCTCGGTCATCTTTCTCCTAACTTATGATCAAAACAATGAAAAACCTCACCGAGGTAAAAAATAGCTTCCTTGATCCGGTTTCCTAATCATTTCTTTCGAAGACAAGCATCGCTAACGTATTTGTAGAATTTCTCATTCGTTAGCTCTCACGAATGAATGAAAAAATATATTGAGGTTTTTTCCGGTGAATTTCACTCAATTAATCTTCCTTGAATTATTTGACATCGCTTAAAATATACGCCTTAAAATATAAACCCAAGAAGTCCATGCGAATTCACGGAAAACCCGAAAAAAAAATAGATTTTTTTTGATCTCCGCGGGTAATGTTCTACCTCAAAAAAATCCTTTTGCACAAAAAAAAAATCGGGAAAATAATGGATGTACAACTATCTAGGGAAAAAAATCAGTCATTTGTAATTTAGCCAATTTTCAATACCATTTTTTAACCTAAAAAATCCGTATATTTTTAATATCTTAACCACACAAACTCGGGAAAGTCTAGGGCCTCAATACGACAAATTCATTCGGCAGATTGAAATAATGTATAATAAATAACTGACCGAGCCTGTTAACCTGGCCCTGCCAATTCAAAACATCATATCACCGATTACAGAAAATAAGTATTTTTCGCTTCCACTTATTGATACAATTTGGATGTATTTTAAAAATAACATACATATGTTGCAGCAAAGCCAAAACATTGTCAAACGCGACAATATAATTGCGAACATCTATGCTCATTAATCTTACTTAAATATATTCCCATGATATCAAATTATGTTATTTTTTATCCTTCTAGTTTCAATAGTTTTTTTCATACCACGAGTTGCGAGTTTTTGCCCATTTCTCAGATTATTATACCGTGCTTTTTCGTCATAAGCTAGCACTCGAGCAGGCAATTGTTTAAATGCTGTCTTCAGACGGATGGAAAGTCTATAGAACGTTTGGGATATACATCGATCTTCACATGTGCAAACTTATAAACTAACAAATTAAAAATTAGTATGATAATGTATATTTAGCCCGTTCATGAAAAACATTTAGTACTGATCATAAATTTGCTTTTTGGTCTGATTCAGTTGATTGGTTCGACGCGTGCTAAGTTCGATGTCTGACGCAACAGACGATCTTAATTTAATTTAGGTCCACCCAAATTACGGTTTGATTCGTCTCATGAGACGTTCCACACTGACGACTCCGTTGTGGTTGCAAGATTTAAAGTAACTACTATTGGGAATTTTACTTAGTTAATGCTACTCCTTCTTTTGGCCGGTAGGCCTCACTCGTTTATTTAACACAAATGACTCAAAAATAAAACAGCTGTATATGTATGTGTGTACCTTTATCTCATAGTGCTTTGTTGAAAATAACTAAAAATCATTTTAATTTTATTTCAAAAGATAAAGATGAGTGCGCACTAGCTAACGGTGGATGTCAGCACACGTGTACAAACACTTATGGAAGCTATAAGTGTTCCTGTTACAGTGGATACCAGTTAAAACCTGATGGCTTAACTTGCCAAGGTAAAATTATGATAGTTTCAAGTCATGGTCTTCATACAAACTAGCCAGGGTGTCTCCTCGATTGTCTCGACTTTTGAAGGTGTGATTGTGAGGATCAAGACGATCGATATCCCGACAATAATTCTGAAATCGCCCAACATTAATAATCTAGCTCCCTGTCTATCTAGGGCTTTAGCGATCACCTCGATATTCCGTATCGCCCACAATCGCATCAGTGTTCCCATGGGATCGTCTTAATCGCCCGGGCAAGTTTTGAAGACTACTTCCTTGCATTGCGATACAGTGTGACAATCTTGTAATAACTCTTATCTCAAGGTCTCTTGTGATTTTTAAATCACATAAAAGGCAAAAGGCATTTATTTTTTCGATTGTTTCACACAGTCTTCATCACAAATAAGTCAAACATTCATGCAGTTGGTAACTCTCCATGGTTAAAATGTGAGGGTCTCTTAAAAAGCTAAACATACAATCCAATTCTGTTCAGCAATCACTTATTTTATAATTCTCCCATCCTCCCAATCTGTTCTCATCTAAACCAACTCACGTCGATGTAATATTTTCAAGAGTATTGTTTTCTCTAATCTCCTCACTCCACCTGTTTTTGTCTGAGAGACATCGACGAATGTACAAAAAAATACCCATCAATGCGTGCTATACTCCCCCTATTGCTATAACATTGTTGGAAGTTACGAATGCAAATGCCGCTCAGGATTTGAACTAGATCCCAACTCAATATACCAGCGTAAAGATAAATGACTTTCATTAAGTATTCGAACTAAATGGACCTTTTTGCTAATGGGATCGAAGTAATGGGACGTGAATTGAATGTAAGACACCCTGAGGTACCCTTGTAGCGAGCACCAAGTCAACTCGCTGACGGAGAAGAATATAACTGAAGCAGCAACATTCACACGTTACCACCGTTTTCGTTGATACGCGACTTTCGAAAAGAAAACACCCGCGGAAACGTTTCCAAAATTTCCGTCAATCATGCGTGTTATCGAGGTCAGAAGGTCACACTAGTGGCTGTGATTGGTGGATTTCGATCCGATCTGTCGATAACATGCATGATTGACGGAAATTTTGGAAACGTTTCCGCGGGTGTTTTGTTTTCGAAAGTCGCGTATTAACGAAAACGGTGGTAATGAAGGAAAAGAGGCATTTAGTAGCTTGCGTTATGTGTTATGTTCATGCCGCGGGTCATGACTCACCAGAAATCGGACGAAGTGACGCAACCGACTCACAGCTGCAATCCAGTGATTCACAGGACGATTCAGAAAACGACACACCATTGGACTGTTTTAAAATAGTCGTAGTTTTGTCGTACTGTTCCAGACGCAGCCGTCGAAAAACGTTACAGTACAATTGGAGGGAATTCGTTTAAATCTTAGTAGAGGGGGAAACTGGTCATGTTTTTTAAGTGACTAGGAAGACGGGTTAGAGCTAACTTTCCTTTGTTGGCAGGCGGGAGGACGCCACGTAACAGTGTTACTTTACGTAACACTCATGTTTCAGTTCTCTTCATTCAGTGACCTATCGGTCATTATTACCAAAGAACACCTTTCGGAAATCGCTAGTTTTTATGATCCTTACAATTCTTCCTCGTTACTTGTCATTCGCAGCGGTTGATTGACTAGTGAGGAATAGCAGTAGAGCTATTTCAATGAAAGCTGTCTCTTTCGTTCGTAAAGACAGACCTTTAGTTTCCAAAACGAGAACGAGTACGAGAACGAGATTTCCCAATACGAAGTTGTGCGCGCGCTTGAACCAGCGTCATTTTGGCTCGAAAAAGTGGTAGCCGTCGTCATTCTATTACGGGTTTCAGCGAGAATGTCGCAGTGGCGGAAATATGTTATCGACGGAAAGAAGTTTTATCATTTTGCGATCGACCAGGAGAGGGCTTAGCCATTTCTTCAATGAAAATAACTATGCAAACTCTTCTGGTGAAAAAAAAAACAAAACAAAAACAAAAGAAAGTAAAATGAGGCTTTTTTCCGGGGTGCATATTTTTTGAGAATACGCTAAAGAAATTGATAGAAGTTTAATTTCATCCTCGAGGTCGTCTCACTCGAACCTAAAGATCCCTAGTAACTGTCTAATGATCCATCTATTTTGCACGTACTTGTCCACATTCAAATCTTATATATATTCATAATTTTACTTCAGATATCAACGAATGCTTGACTAATAAGGGTGGGTGTAGCCACAATTGCATTAACCTGGATGGCACTTACACCTGCTCTTGTCCGAATGGCTATGAACTTGATTCAACGAGAAAGAACTGTGTTGGTAAGATTTCTTTGTATTTCACATTTTTGCTTCGTCGCACCCTTAATGTACACTGGAGTGAGATTGTGCGGGAGAACCATCGCGGGGTTGATTGAACAAAAGTTGGGATTCATCTGGCAACCCCTTAGCTTTTGCAGGGCGAATAATATCATCACCCAGTGGCCAAAGGTGAAGGAGCCTTTCAACTAGTTAAATTTTCTATGAGTGTTTTTAGGCCTAAGAAGAAATTCTTGAACCTTAGCAAGATCAAATGTCGAAAATAACTTTAGAAGTTGTGCATAAGCCTTACAAAAATAGATAATATTTTTCGATAATGATAAGTACATGAAACTTTGATTAGGACAAAGCTGTTGAAGTCCGATATTCTGGAATATAATACTCTAGGCCAAACGTCGAACTTTTCATGAGACGAACCAAACTTAGGGAGTTAAGTTATGAAACGTTAGACGTCTGGCTCAGTAAAGTTCGTCTGAATGAGTTTGGATCGTCCAACACGTCTTATCCGTCTTCTTCAGACGGATAGAACGTCTATAGAACGTCTGGGATATAGATCGATCTTCACATGAGCAAACTAATCTAATAAATTAAAAATTAGTATGATAATGTATATTTAGCCTCGCTCGTGAAAAACATTTAGTGCTGATCATAAATTTGCTTTTTGATCTGATTCAGTTGATTGGTTCGACGCGTGCTAAGTTTGATGTCTGACCCAACAGACAATCATAATATAATCTAGGTCGACCCAAGTTAGAGTTTGGTTCGTCTCATGATCGATCATGAAAAGTTCTACACTGACGACTCCGTTGTGGTTAGAAAATTTAAGGTAACTAATGGGGAATTCTACTTGGTTAATGCTACTTCTTCTGTTGGCCTAGGCCTCACTCGTTTATTTAACACAAATGACTCAAATAAAACAGCTGTATATGTATGTGTGTACCTTTATCTAATAGTGCTTTGTTGAAAATAACTAAAAATCACTTAATTTCATTTCAAAAGATAAGGATGAATGCGCGTTAGCTAACAGTGGATGTCAGCACACGTGTACCAACACTGATGGAAGCTATAAGTGTTCCTGTTACAGTGGATACCAGTTAAAACCTGATGGCTTAACTTGCCAAGGTAAAATTATGATATTTCTAAGTCATGATCTTCATACAAACTAGCCAGGGTATCTTCTCGATTGCCTCGACTTTTGCAGGTATGATTGTGAGAATCAAAACGATCGATATCCCGACAATAATTTTGAAATCCCCCAACATTAATAATCTAGCTTCCTGTCTAACAAGGGCTTTCGCGATCGCCTCGATATTCCGCATCGCCCACAATCGCATCAGTGTTCCAGGGGCGGATCTAGGGGGAGGGTGCAGGGGGTGCGCACCCCCCCCTGAGATGATCTGCGGTTTTCTAATACAACTGGTATTCTGCAAAAAAAAAAACTATGTGGTTTATTGGTGTTGAAGTAGAGCAAGAGACAAGTGCACCCCCTCCTAAAAAAGATTCTGGATCCGCCCCTGTGTTCCCATGGGATCGTCTTAATCGCCCGGGCACATTTTAAAGACTACTTCCTTACATTGTCTTCTCCTATTTTTAGGCGCGTAAAATTTACTTGCATACGTACGTAAAAATTACACCACAGTGCAAATCCAGTCCTTGTGTTAATGTTTGGCGTGATTCTTGTTTTCTAATTATTCACGATTGCAGCGTGAAGCAAAAGACCTTTCCCTATTTTTGTATATTTGTGTTTCTGTGGTTTTGCTACCTACATGTACCTGGCTTCCAACTTTTATTCTAGTGCAAACCTAGGTCGATTTGTATTTGCAGTTTAGGTACACTTATTACAGGTTATTACAAATCAGGTTCACCAAGACTTACATCGTTAGCTTTTGGAAAACACTTAGCAGATTAACACAGAACTTCTCTGAGGCCACTACATTCTTTTAATTTTTAGATATTGATGAGTGCACGGAAGGTTCGGCCATGTGTGATACTTTAAGTACCACCTGCAGAAACCTTATTCCATCATACGATTGTAACTGCAAGGAAGGATACAAGGTCATACCAAACAACAAGTATCGATGCGGACGTTGAGAAACCAAAGGGAAAAACCCAGGGTTATAAAAATAAGGAAAAAGACAATCAAAGGAATAGGTTGAATAAGTTTGATGTATAACATTTCGTTCAAAAGAATTATGACAAGTAAAAAGAAAACCCTCTGGTGAAAAAATGAGAAACTAAAATTGTTTCTTTTGTGAAAATAAATAATTATAAGGTGGATGTCTTGTTTAGTGATATATATAGTGAAAATTTGAACCTTAAACAGACATATTATCGTTTTTAAAAACGTTTTTTGAATCACTAATATAGTTAAAATTAGACTGAAATATTTACGATGTTAAAAACTCAGTGAGTTACTGATTCTGCAGATTTCTCTTTGTAAAGTTAAGAAATGAATCAGTAGTTTCTCTAGCAACCTCAGTTTTTTTGCGGGGTGTTGGGAAAGGGATCATTAAATACATGGGTTCTCCTCCACTGATAGAATTAGTGGGTGAGGCCAAGGAGTAAATAATAAAGGTTGTGTAGGGAATTGTTGTAAGCAAAAAGGAACGAAAAATATGTGAGGATCATGGTTAAGCAAAGTAGCTGAGGGACTGATAAACTGCAAAGCAGTTAAGCCCACAGCAAAAAAGGCGTTAGGGGGTTAAGGTACAACAATAGTGAGGGACCCACAAACTGCCATGCAGCTATGTCCACTACAGTATTGCGTAAATAAAAATCATAAGGGGAGTAATAGGGGGTGTAGAGTTAGTATATTAAGAGTTTGATGTATGCACAAGTGTGAAAATTGTGACATAATTTTAAAGATGGGGCAATATTTTAGAATATGTTATATTCGAAATAGAAGATAAAATAAAAGATTATAATTATATAAAAGGAAAATGTAAAGTTTCCATTAACATTTAAACTAGTGAAAGTTTTGTTCAATATCCTTCTTGCATTCTTATTAGCATTTAGTTATGGAAAGTCACTCCAGACGAGCAATCTCGATGGGGAAGACGCGTAGATGCTAATAAAGTAATCAGAAGGGGTGGGTGGGTGGGGGCGACTCCAACTAAAGTTGGTCAAACTGACAACTGTAAAAAATTAACACATGCTTATATACTAAGCGCAAAGTCTAATGAATATTAATAATTAATATAATATTAATAAAACAATTCTAAGGGAATAAAATATAAAGTGTAATAGAAATGTAATTTACAAAAAATGAGTGAAATAAATGTACAAGATAAGAATTTGCACAGTGAAATTACTGATATTAGGAATATAACTTGTAATGTCAAAATTCAGTTGAAAGAGTATTTAAATGGTTAGTTGTTAGTCGTTTTTTTTGTCCATTAAGGTAGAGCCACTCTTCGTTAAGTTGTGTAAGTCAAGATAAAACTAAATATATGATTTTTTTGTCCATGTTGTTGATTAGAAAGTCCAGTTGTCGCGCGCATTTTTCGGCTTTTTTGTCTGAGGTCCAGTGTTGTGAGGTTAAGATCCAGTGTGAAATGAGGTTGGGTGAGCAGCCATTGCCAACTAAAAATAAAAATAGTTTGAAGGTGAATTTGTCGCTAATAGGTTTCTTCCAGAAAATTAACTTAAAATCTTGTGGCCAAACAGAAAGTGGATAAAATGCGTCGCCGTGGAATGAATTAAAAAGCTGAAGCCTCTGTTGGATGATTGATGTGGGGGAGAGGTTACGTAGGTGGTGTTGATTAAGGTGATTAGAAGTGAAGAGTGTTTGTCCATTGTAGAAGGTAGTCTGTTAAGATAACAATAGATGAGGAGGTGAAGTAGAGGGTGAGGATAAGAGCATTAAGATGGTAATTCGTAACTATTAACTATTACTTAGCATTAAAAGTTTGAGAGAAATTTTCCCATTGTTATTAGGGAAAAAGGAAAACGGAAGAAGAGCAGATAGAGTGTGAAGGAGAATGGGAATACCTGGGCATGGTAAAAAAGGATGCATCGACACCAAGGCTCCTGTAATGTTGTGAATCACCAGGGACAAAGCACAACTGAGCGAGGATGTTTGTAGCCTGGCGCCGAGCCTTTGCCCGACAATCTCTGTGTCAAGTCAATGAGAAGAAAAAAGGAAAAAAGGGAGAGAGGAGAGGAATGGCAAGGAAGCGGCCGTGCAGAGAAAAATTTTAATTTTAATTTTTTATTTTGGACAGAACAATATAGTCTCTTCATATGTAAATAGAGTTTGAAAATGATTTACATGAATTTGGGATCATTCTCGGCAGCTGGGCACTGTAATTATCTTACACAAGCCTTACCCATTTATAGTCAACGCAGCCGAAATCCTCGCGTAGTCATTTATGCTCAGTGCTTCTTCAGTTCAATTCAAATAAAATTGCTGCCAAGAGCCTGACCCAGACTGGTCCCCTCAGGTTATCTCGCTTGCTCGGTGGTGCCGACACTCGGGAGAACGGTAAACCGGGACAATCTGCAGGCTCATGTAACTGAAAAGGCTCTGAGGTGAATTTCACGGTTTAGCGAGCCGTGATGAAACAGGTTTGTCCCTCCGCGCCTCCGCTTCATTCAATGCTTCTTCTACCTTTTAGGCCGTTACGTATTAGAAACGTTCTTGCGGTAAGCGAGTGTTAACTAGTGTTGTATGAAAAACATCATAAGTTAATATATAGATTTAGCAATGGCTAAAAGCGAAGCTCCCGTTAATAAATTCATAACTTAAATCAAACAGTAAACTTGTAATCCACAGATAGGGCACATTCATGTGACTTTTGAGGCAAATTAAGGCTCAGTGATTTTAGAGAAAAATAATTTGACAGTCCAAGAGTGAAACAAATTTTACATCGAGTTAATGGTCTTACTTGTACACCCAAAAATAGCAATCATGTTCGATCACAGTAGATTAGGCCTGGAAAACAAATAGACCTATTCGTGTATTGTATTTGCATTAGCTGTTGCATCATAATGTGGCATTCTCCAGTCTCTCCAACAATGCTCCGTTAGAGAGACTATGGATAATTGGACAACCCCGAAATATATTTTTAAGAAACACACGAGCCACGATAGTCCTTGGTGGAAGCCAATTGACACGTTGCATTCCTCTGTGTAAAAGTGAGGCCAAAATAAAAAATCAGGCCGGATTTTTTCTGTTCGACAAGTTTAGTTTACAAGTAAATCTTGGCGACGAATCTGGTGGCCTGTAAACCAGCCTATTAAACATACTTTTTCTCAACACGTCTCAGGTAAACAGTACTATGAGGCCCTTTTTTTATCATACAGACCTCGGACAGAATTTGTTCTTTCTTGCCCTATTCTTTTTTTGCCCTATAATTCTGCGGTTTTTCACAATTTTGCAAGACAATTTGCACTCCACGACGTCAAAGCACGCGCTTCTTTTGCACAACAAATTATAGCATGGAATTATAAAACGTTTTCATGAAAAGAATTTCATTATGCGGGACTTTTCCGTTAGAAAAATCTGGTCTTGTGATATGCAGGGTAATAATTATGGGCTTTTAGTGAAAACGATAAAAAAAATTCCCAAAATCACCTTTTCGGCCAGCCGGACGGGTTCTCACTTTTGACAGGCAAATTTGCAGTGCGATTAATAGAGTTACCATTTGCGCTTCAACATGATAGACAAATTGTTATGTTTAGGTTTTATTTCCCTTTATTTATTAAACTGTGTATGGTTTTGTTATCTGTAATCTTTAAAAGCGAGTGATATTTACGCGCGGCGTTTTGAGTATTCCTCCATGCGATGTTTATGTTCGACTGGAGGGACTATATAATTCGGTGAAAAATGTACAGAGACAATAATTTTCATTCACGAAGAGAAGTATTGAGAGTAAAGTGTCTCTGAAAATCATGAGTCAGGTAAGCATAAACTTGTTTACGTTTTAAGCCGGCTTCCCGGTGTTTGCTCTTTTTCAAGATGAACTCGAGGCAAGAAAATCGCTCAGAGCTTTCTGTTTATAGCCAAAATCATAACTAAATAATCTTCGGAACCTTTTCTTTGAATTTGCGGTCAAAAAATGTCTAAAGGCTTCTTAAACCTGATACTATTGTAGGTTAGATCATTGCTCGTGTATAAACTTAAGCGCATAAACCATACGCTCGACTTCAGGAAACCGAAAAAAAAAACACATCAAAGACAATAGTTGCTCAGGCTTACCAGTCGAGATGCTGCTTCTGAAGGTCATTAAGTGTTCCACAATCGCTGGAGACTTTTCAACCCTCTTACGCCTCAAGCAAGGGCAAGTGAGTAAGCTCATTCTTGAAAACGATGCCATCCGAAATCGGATTTCCAATGACTTTGACAACCGGAGCATTTGTCAACATAAAGCGCAATAAACAAATCAGCCATGAATTACAGAACAATCTTGATAGCAGCTGCATTTCATTTTGTACACCAAGTACAAAAAGACGGTTTAAAACATCAGAAGATGACACAAAACTCTGTCAGCTCCAGCTATCAGTAAGCAAGTTTCCAGACGCTGTATAAATTTTCCGCATGAACTCACCTGTCAAATTTTGACCAATCAGAACATAAAAGTTGGACGTAGAGCATGATCAACGCGTGACAGGGAGAAAAGTCAAAAGCGATTGCCTGACCAGCATGTAAAAGCGGGTTGAATTTTCGCGTCCGAAGTGAGTTCGAAATCAAAATTTTAAAAATGCGGCTCATAAACACGACCTATTTCATATGCATTTAAAAAAATTGAACTTGAGTCTGCGATCATTTGAAAAGTAGCAACTTGTCAGCGGATACCTTCAAAAAAACACTCAAACTCAGTGGGTCGATACCTGAGCCCGCGATACGGTCAGGCGATACTGGTCAGCACAAACACTATTTTTTGGACAGCTGTCAATTAATCAAAACATGGATGTACAATATCAGGCTGCAGGCTCCCAAATTAGCTAGAAAGTGTGAGATTAAACATTGGTATGCCTGTGGTGCGGACGGACGAAAGGTCGGGTGGTCGATGTACGATCACGTGATTGCCGAATTTTTTGGGATGGCTATGGGGCGTCGAATTGAGCCCGTGATCAAATAAAATATCAGTGCAAAACTTTAAACACTACGTGAACTCAATGGATAGAAAAACGAGCGCGCGATACACTCAGGTGATGATGGTCAGCGTATACTCTAGTTTGACAGCTGTCAATTAACCTTAATTAGGATGGCGAATATTCGAATTAACAGACTACGAGTGTGAGTAAGGCATATCCGTCCCGCTTGTAGTGGAAAATTGCCAGATCGTGTACCTCAGCGAACCTGAGCCCACGTTATTAGTTTTCTAATAGTGGTCTACACATGTCCCATTTTGACAGCTGTCAATTGACCTTAATTTGGCTTGCCAATATAACTTTAAACGACTGTCAGCCAACTGACAGCCTTGCCCGGCGTAGTTTCGTTTTTATGTTGAATTGGTAAGTGTGACATATTATATCAGCTTATATATAGGGGCAAAACGACTGGTCTTTCATCTGAGCCCGCCGCGAGATGGTCATGTGATAATTGTCAGCGGATGTCTGATTTTGACAGCTGTCAATCTAATCGTACTCATACGGATGGCTTACATAACTGAAAGGCTAGTCAAGTTGTGCAAGATCTATAGTGACATTTGACATCGGCTTAAATGAAGTGTGTGTACGGGTGGGCGGGCGGCCGTACGCTACGTCATAACCATATTTTCTCGGATGGATAGTTTACCAAATTTTGTTACCCATGGTCCTTCGCTGCGCGCGCGCTTCGCGTGCGCGAGAGCTCCGCTATAAGGGTATAACCATCAGGATTGTCAGCTGCTAAACGCCTTTTCAATTGTTAACAGGGATCAGTTACCATAAGCAGTCCATTATCGTTTAACGTAAGGCACGGGCCATTGACGTGCTTTATTTATTGTATTTAATTATTTATAATACTTGGTTGACTCTACCACTCGTCGTTTAGTAGTAACTAAATTTCATTTTTAAGCCACCTTCTTCCTGTGCTTTGTAGTAATTAATGTATGAGAAACTGACCAATAATAGCTGTAGCAGGGTGGGGATTCAGCCTGAATCACTTTGAATAATCCTGTATAATGTTTGTAATTACTCATCTACAGGGTGTTGTGTGCATGCATAACAAAGGCTTTAATCTTCAATATCCCTCGCTATCACATTAATGAACTGTCTGTCTGGTTTTCATATTTTCTGTCAACGCACGGGGTAGTTATTCAAAACATTTATTTCGACGACGATTGGTAAGTGATGAAGATCTCTTTTAACTAGTTTTCCGTTAAGACGAGATCGTGACGCACAGTAGCTTCATAACAGCACTTAATGTAAAAAGAGCCTTGCTTCAGCAGTTAGGGTTGAGACGCAAATGAATGTTTTAACCTACAAAAGCACTATGTTTCCCAACAAACTCCACTGTCAACTAACATTTAATATTAAAAAAAAGTGATATGATGAAGATGTGTGCATGATAACGACGTTTTTTTCCTTCTTTATGACTTAACTTCATGTAGGTTAAGCAACGACTACAACGAGAACGGCAAAGAGTAGCTAAGCACCATGTTTTCTCGTGAATCACACTTTTTTGTAGCGGAACCTCCATATGATTGTTATAGAAAGCTGAAGCCTATCGATACGAAAAAAATTGGGTCTAAGGCACCCGTACAGGCTCTTGGGAGAAAAAAAGGAGTCCCAGACATGCAGCTTTCGTTCGTCTTCGCGAAAAATTAACCATTTCAGAGTCAACCGTCACATAGTCGTGTCCTTGCTCACGCTCCAGGAACAATCTAGTCAGACTGCTCAAATTGTTGGCTGGTGAATTCCAAAATAAAGAACTTATGCAACATCTTGAACTTTTCTTACTGACAACTGAAGCTTTGTATAGTTTTAACGTTTTATTTTTTCGTGTACTTCTACTGCCGTAACAAAATGAAATACCGCCAGCTGGTATCAAGATTCTTCTTCTATTGAAAGCGTGGCCCTGGAAATTAAAAATAGAGTTTAGCCATGCCTATGCCAGTGATGAATGTTAATTCCCTTTCTTGTATTTTCGTTATGAACTAGTTTTTAATCCATTAGCAATTACTTGGCCAGATGCAACATGTTAAACAAATGTTTTAATCTTCTATTCTGCTTTCAATTTATTAAACTTGTCATTTACCTTTTAATAACAACTGGAAATTACACACAAGATAAGGTCTGTTAATTATAAAGTAATTAACAACTCGTAAAACGTTCATACGTGCCTCTCTAATCGTCTGTAATCGTTTTGAAGCTCACAAAACATTTTGTACCCATTTGATCAGCTTTGCAATTCTTTTCTTGTTAGGGTTAACTAATCTGATTTGAATGCACCTTATAGTGGTTTCTTCAAAGAAAACAGGAAATAGATGGCAGAATATAGTAATCCGGTTTGCTCCTTTTTCTCTATAAGTCAACAGGAACATCAAACTAAGTAATATATGAAGAACAGCTCAACTGCAGAGTAGGTTAACATAACAAATGACACTATATACATGCATATAAACAGGCGATCCCTGTTTTATAAACAAGAATTTCCACACAAAGCTTCCTCAAGTAACTGAAGGTTTGGACTTTTTATCCTTAGACTGACTGCCCACTGGTTCTTTTCTTAAGAAATAATTTCCCTTAGTCATAAATTTTAAAAAGAGTAACTTGACTTTATGAATAATTCAAGTCCTATGAACCGTCGCGTTAAGTTATGTGGAATTTATTGGCACTTGTGAACGTTGGCGATTTTCAGTTAATTAAGGTGCTAAGACATCTCATTTGTTGTTTAACAAATAGAGTGGGTTAGCACCTTAATTAACTGACATCAATGCTGCCTTTCCTATGAATCTTATATCCACTTATATGTGCCTACTAAAAAGAAGTATTGTTAGCACGTCGCTCAGGGGCGGATCCAGAAATTCAGAAAGGGGTGGTCGAGAAACGTGACAGCTATAATTAGATGCTATTTATATATGTGTTACTGATAATTCATTAAAAACAATATAAAATTTCACAGAAAAAAGGGTGGCCGCGGTTCACTTGGCCGAACCCTAAATCCACCCTTGATCAGTAAAATCTAGAACTGTAGCAGCCGTTTTAAGAGTTTAAAGTACAAGGTCAACCTGCCTTATGGCCGGACTAAATCAGATGATGAGGAGGAAGACACAAATGGAGAAATATGGGATGATGAGACTCAAGATCAGACAGATGAGGTGGTTGAATCGGATTTAACACTGTTTCTTATCGAAGACATAGTATAAGGTATCTTAGACCCCATCTTTGGCGAAAGATGAGAAAAAACCTTCGCTGTAAACCTAGCCTACAATCTTTTAACTGTAGTTGTAATTGCCAGGCTTGCCTTTCTAGAACGCTTTTTACTTATTGTTATATTAATGATTAATGACATAAGTACGTAGTTCCTAGGTTGTTAGAGTTTTACTGTAAATTATTAATCTTAGCTATATTATTTTTAATTTTTAAATATTTATATCTAGTTTCTCCAGTTTGTTTCATTAGCTAAATACTCTCGACACGTAAATAAAGTTCATCATCATTAAGTATAGCGCTGAGAAAGAGTGCCTATTCTTGGAGAGGCGATGACGCTATTTCACAATGGTTCAGTTATTTGGTATAAGCACGTTATAAAAGAGTAAATATAAAAGTGTCACAAAACGTTCTCCAAATAATTGAAATGTAAACACTTTCGAAAGTGTAACAGACTTGCGCTTTATAAATAAAGTTGCGTTTAGAACGAATTGAGACTGCAAACACTTTTATCTCCCAGTAGAATAAACGCATTTATTTCATATACTCCGAAACTGGCATTTTCCTACAGGTTTGAGTGGTCCCTCTGAATTATTAGAAATTTTTGTTCAATAATCCTCCCTTTTGGGTTCTCAATTACGAATGATCCCCCTTCTGTTCTCCTAAAAATCCCCCACCCCAACCCCCAAAAAAATCCTCCAATCCCCCCCAAAATGATAAATAATGACTGGCCCCTTAGGAGGGGAGAAAGGGGACAGGAAGGCGTTCCAGACTTGTAGCTTTGTTTTGGCGAGAAAATTAACCACTTTAGAAGCACCCATTACAGTTACTCCTTTAAAATCTTTAAGTTTCTTGTGTTTGACTTACGATAAAAGCTTTCCAAAATGCATAAAGACTTTGCGTTGAGATTGTTAACGCATTTGCTCCTACTCCAGGACCAACCTAGTTTTGAATTGGTCAAAACGTTGACAGGTGAATTTAAGAGTAAAAACTGATGCTATATCTAGAAATGTATTTGCTTTACATTTTTAACCTTTCGTGTTCATGTTTTGCCGCCACAAAATGAAATACAGCTGTTACCAAGATTCGTCTTTTACTCAAAGCTACTCTGGCCATGAAAATTGGATATAAATTTTAGCTGTTCCAGAAATAAATGCTTCTTTGCTTTATTCTATTTTCCTTAGGGAACAGAGTTTTAATTTCACCAACAACTACTCTGCCAGGTGCAGGATGAAAAACAAATGTTTTAATCTACAATAAAGTTATTAAACTTGTCTTTTCTCATTAACGAACAACCAGAAATTAATCAACACTAGACGAGGACTATTAATCATCACTGAAGTGCTGACATATATAATTTGAGCTTTGGATGTTTTTATTTCGATCAGAAGCACCAGGCCTCTTTAATCCTTTTGAAACTTAATAAACATTGTACGCTTTCTTGATCAAGGTGTTTTGTTGTCAGTGGTATCTTGCCTGATTTGAATTCGCCTAATAGTAGTTTCTTCAAGGAAAAAAGGGAATAGTAGGACGAAATATAGTTATCGGGTTTGTCTCTTTTCTCTGGCAATGGCGTCCATAAGTTGACAGGAACAACAAATAGTGAAGAATAGAGCAATTGCAGGTAAACATAAAAACTTTTATCTAACTGATAATATAAAATAATGGATACTACCTTGAAAAGCGAAAATTAGTTAGCATTAACGTCGCATGACGATTTTCACTGATTTAAGGTGCTAACACAAAGAAGGTTACATAAAATGCGAGGGTTAATAGGACGTAGTTTATTTCAGAAAGTCAAGTTACTCAGGCTCTTCACTCTTTCTGAAATTTAAAACCAAACAAGAGGATAACGGCTTGAAAGTCGTCTAACGATAAAAAGTCCAAACCCTCAGTCACTTTAGAGCAGATCGTCTCTCAAACAGAGGCGTCAAGATAAGATATGAGACGTCAGGAAAAATGCCGCTTTTGTAGCTTAACGAGATTCAGCTTTATGGGTATAACTTAATTGTTAGTTTTTGAAAGTTTCATCTAAGAAACCATATGCAAACGACAATAGGCTGACTTTAGTACACAGAACGGTCTGGTGATCAAAATTTAAGTATTTATTGGTCTAGGAAATCCATCCTTAATATTATTTGAAAAATGATCGGTACTTCTTCATATTTTCTCGCTGTTGTCAGCGGCCGTGTTTTTTACCTCATTTAAGCGTAGCGACATTGACTCAACTTTTTGAAGGAAGTCGAACGATCCGAGCCTGCCTTGAGTCCTTTCCAAAATTTCCGCATAAGGCACTGTTAATTATAGTTTTCACGTACTTGGTTTAGTTCCCAGTGAGGAAGAACTTCAACTTTCAAATTTAGATGTCCGTTAGCCTGCGTAGCAAGCGTTTCTGTACTGTTTAGGAGCAAAGAAAGAGGAACAGGAGTCAATGACAGCGCGAAAAATGGCGCAAGTAAAAGAGCGGGAAGGGGGTGGGGAGGAACAATTTCATAATTTCATAACGAAAAGCTAGTTCATTTGCCTACAAAGAGAAAACTGAGTTCTCTTTTGAACTTTCTCAATAACCTGTACAATGAATAGAAATCTCACGCCGTCGAGTCTATCCAAAATTCACCTGTTATCTGATAATGATATAAGCTTAAGCTTAATACTAACGCCTCTCCACCAAAGAAACTGACAAAAATGAAATGACTGCAAGACCACATTCAGCCGTAAAAACTGCAAAGAAGGTACTGTAAAGTCGAACTGGGTTTTCAGATCGTAAGAGTGCAAAATAAATCACGTCTGTATCTTCCCCAAAGACGGGAGATTGATCGAGTCGTTTACTCAATGCATCCATCTTTAAAGTGATGACATCACAAACCAATTCGATAATATATTACGGAGAAATGCATCATGTGAAGACTGCATCATACTCCTTTTGCATTACCGTTGACACAAATGTAACAGTGTCCACATAAAGAAAGTGCATGAGATAACTCATTTGCACATGGCAGCCAACACTGTAAAGACCCCTATAAATCGCAGACTACCCTTCGGGTAACTCCGAGTTAAAAAGGTTACTTTGAATGCTAAAAATAATATGTGAAGGTCTTTTAGTATACGCCAGATTTACAAAAATTTAGAGAAACGATATCGGGAACTTTTAAACAAGTTACCGCTCAAAACAAGTTTGCACAATAAATGTTTGATTGTAGTTGGGAAAGCCGTTCTTCTTTGTGAACGCATTTTTTTTCTTGAAACTGTTCGCAAGGTTAAATCTATATTCCTTTGCTTTGTTTTAGTGCAAACCACACAAGGCCGATGAAGTGGAGGAAAAACATAATGCTTTCATGCATCTTAAGACCGCCTCTCTTTATGCTACTATTTCTTCCACTAACATCATCTAACGATGGCTATAGAAATTATAAAGATGGCGACGTTATCATTGGTGGTCTACTCGACATCCACTATTATGGCACTAGTGATCAATGTACTGAGCTTTTTACCACAGGGCTGGGATACGCGGAGGCTACGATCTTCACTATTGAGAAAATTAACAAGAATTCCACTATTTTACCTAACGTGACCATCGGCTACGACTTAAGGGACTACTGTGGGAGCAATGCTCAGGCCATGAAGATGGCCTATGACCTCATGTTCATATGCAGTGGCGATCCAGTACATATGTCTAACCAAAACATTAGCATCTCCTCCACAGGCTATGTCAAGGAAACCAAAACCAAGACCATCTCAGCATTAGTTGGCCCTGCTGATTCCGGAAGCGCAGTACTAGTAGGAAGTCTGCTTCAGGTTTTTGGCATTCCCGCCTTCAGCCAGAGTGCAACAAGCGATGAGTTGAGTTCACAAATGTACAAAGACTTTTTCAGAACAGTTCCACCAGACAAATGGCAAGCGGAGGTCATAGCAGACATCCTAGAGCTCTTTAACTGGACTTATGTGGCGGCTGTCGGGTTGGATGATTCTTATGGACAGAACGGGATTTCAGCGCTGGAAAAAGAATCCTACAACCGGAAAACATTTTGCATTGCTTTCTCTGAGTATATTCCACGGCTAGGCCATTGGGATAAAACAAAGCAAACTGTTCTCAAGATTAAAAGGAGATCTGAAGTCGCAGTGATCATTATTTGGCTTTATGGCGGTTACGGAAGGGCATTTTTTGCAGAAGCAACTGCGCAAAATCTTGAAGGAAAGACTTGGATACTTAGCGACGCATTGACCGCGGGAGAGGCAGTGTTTCTTGACCCTCACTTGACAATTCTAAACGGCTCCTTGGGAGTAAGGCCACGTGACTATCCCACTCCCGAATTTGAAGAGCACCTTAAGACGATTACCCCTGCCAAAAGCATTGAAAGAGGCGCAGACTGGTGGGAAGAGTTCTGGAGATTACAATTCAATTGTTCAGCCTTGAAATCCAATGACTCTGGGGTCGCACCTTGCGAAGCAAATCTAACGTTACACCACGCATTACACAAGATACGCGGCTCCTTCGTTTCTTATCTCATTGACGCTGTATATGCTATTGCACATGCCCTAGATAACATTTACCGCTGTTCTCTTACTATACATAGTGCTGGTAAAAGAGGAAAGTGTCCTCCAGTCAAGCCAACTGTCAAGGGACGTGATCTGGAGAAATATCTCAGAAACATTAGTTTTGACGGCTTGACTGGTAAGGTGCGATTTGACAAGTTTGGTGATCCTCTAGGAGCTTCCTACGCCATCATAAACTTCCAGCTTGACTCAACCACAGACGGAGCACGCAAAAATATTCTGGTTGGAGCTTGGGACAAAGAAAACACGCCCAAACTCAAAGTAGATTTGTCCAGACTACGATGGAGAACTCCCTTTACCCCGTTATCCTCTTGTTCATCAGAATGTTTACCTGGTACCAGAAGGGAAATCACCTCGCCATGTTGCTGGGAGTGTATTAAATGCCCAATGGGAACTGTCAGTACCAAAGTCGGATCCACTAGCTGCACTAAGTGTGACCCAGAGACAAAGTCAAACGAAGGGCGCAGTAAGTGTGAAAAGTTACCAATCATCAACATCACGCATTCAAATGTCTCGGGAATTACCATAACAGTGGTGGCTTCCATGGGTTATATTTTCATTTTGTTAGTTGGAGGCACCTACATCAAGTTTTTCAACACCCCAGTCGTAAAGGCCTCTAACAGAGAGATCTCTTTTCTGTTGCTATTTGGTATCTCAGCTCTCTTTATTTTAGCCGTCCTTGAACTTTCTGAGCCCAGCCATTCACTTTGCAACGCAACATTTTTCTGGCGCTATTTTGGTCTCAATCTTTGTATCACAGTGCTCTTTTTGAAAACTATGCGAATAGCAAGCGTTTTTGAGGTCGATAAAGTGGCGCAGTTGTTTACACCGTGTTACAAAACCCTAACAAGGCAGGGTATTTTTCTCTCAGGTATGAATTTAGGTTTCATTTGTTTATTGGCCCTGTGGATCTTTCTTGACCCCCCAAGGCGTAATAAAGTCATCCGTGTAGATGAGTACATCTTTCTTGCGTGCAAACCATTTGACACCAATCTCGGCCTTGCACTGTTCATCGCAGTCTGTGCTTACATGCTCATTGTGGCTTTCCTGTGTACGTATTACGCTTTCAAAGCAAGAAGAATTCCCGAGAACTTCAACGAGACAAAATACATAGGATTCTCTATGTACATTCTACTGTTGTCATCGCTGACATATTACCCTGTGCTGTTTGCTTTTGAGAGCTGGTACGTGACAATTGTATCTTGTACTACGACTTTAGTAACTTCGTTTGGTATGTTGGGATGCATGTTCGGGCCCAGAATCTACATTCTCTTTTTCCAATCCCAGCAAAACACCATCGAAAATGTCAGGTCGCAGGTGATGAATTTCTCCTTTAGTAATGTCACGGCAACCAGAGTTTTGCCGGGACAAATTAATGAAGGATTACCACCTAACGCTGCGCTGAATACCCAAAATTAAAAACGCTAGATTGCAGTTCGCCAACCAGCCATTCTTTTTACCAGTAACATGGAAAAATACTTTAAACTTCTCAATCTGTACCTGCCTTCAGTCATTAGCACACTAGACTTCTTTACCAAGTATGTTTTGTCTTTGGACGTGGATGTCTCGATTTGACGCGATCGTTTTTTGAAAACAGACGAAACAGGGTAAAACTGGGTGAAATTACAGGCATTTGGAAACCTATGAAACGTGGATGTCCGCAAGGATCATCCTTTGGGCCCTTACTCTGGAGCACGTTCCAGAATGATTTACCGTTGCATGTCGAGAATGGAAACATAGCCACGTACGCGGATGACCATCAATTGCATGTGAGGGGAACAAATCACGAAATAGTTAGACAGCAACTGAAAACAAGCAGCAAGCAAGCTCTGATATGGTAGTCAAGTAACCTTTTATCAGCTAACCCAGAGAGGTTTCAGTTCCCAAGTATCAACCCAAGAGATACGAGTGATGCAGTGCTAAGCCTGGATGGCCTACCCATTAACAAATCAGAAGGACATTAAACTACTAGGAGTCCACATCGACGACGACCTTGATTAAAAGAAGCATATAAGTGAGCTGCATATTAAGACTAGCCAAAAGTCGGGATACTATGTCGTTTAAGATATTTAAAACCATCTAAGGCTAAGCTGTTGCTGTATGAAGCTTTTATTTTGCCCAAACTTACATATTCTCCACCTAATATGACATTTTTGTAAGTCGTCAGACAAAAGGAAGGGAGAACGAATACAAGAACGGGCATTGAGTCGAGCCATATGTAGATCCCACTCGGATACGTATGAAGAACTCTTAGAGAGGGCTAACCGTCCCACGTTGTATAACAGACTTCAAGACATCGTAGTATTGATGTATAAAGTCAAGTATGGTTCGATCAGATATATAGGTCCCTTCTTATGGTCTAAACTAAACAAAGACTCCTACCAGAAGCTTCTAGCTAGCTTAGCCAGTTTTAGGAACAAAATTAGAAAATTGAACTTTTCAGGATATATTTCAGATAATAGAAACTGATATAAACTCGGAAGGGAATAGACAACATTTTAAGTATCACAGTATTGTAGTTGTCTTCTTTCCATTGTGTTTTATTAAGGGTATAGATTTTATTGTAAGTACTCATTTTTAGCATTTTCTTTTAATAGTTAATGTCCCCAATTAGTCTCTTTGGGCTAATACTCTGACACTTGAATAAAGGTTCTTATCCTATCTCATCTTATCTAGTGTGTTTAACACGCTTTTTTACCTCACTGATGACGTAGTCTGAGATACTGTAAGCGGCCTCTAAAAAATCTATCGCTAACCAGGAGTTAGCACGATTTAAGTCAATTGCATTATTCCGCCAATCGAAACGAGCTAGTCTAAATTAATTGTGATGATGTGACATTTTGAGCCGTTGGCCTGTTCGAAAGCAGCATCTTTGCTACCCTTTCCATAGCCTCGAGTTCGACAAATTACGAATACTCGAATTGGGAGGCGAATGAACGAACGGATTAAGGAACATGACCTACACATACAGCTTTCACCAACTCAAACCTCAACCATTCTGGAACACCCCTTTTCCGACCATGTATCATGCTTAGATTGCATTTTTTCTTCCTTAATAGAAAGTTAAGTATTTTTCCAAATGCCCCAAATAAATTTTTATATTCCTAAAATTATGCATGTTTGCCCTAGATATTTCCTTATTTAAATAATACCGATGACACCTTTGACCCCTAGGTAGGACCGTTCAATGATTCGTCGATTTTCAGGTTTCATTGAAAGAAATACTCCATCTTGGCATAGTTGTCTTTCAGAGTACAACTGTCTTTGGCTGACTTCCAGTTGGCGTTCATTTGTTACATGCAGTTCCTGGATGACAAAAGGAAGCGTTCGTTGCACACCAAAAATGAAACGTTCGATTAATTATGTCAAGAAAAGGGGAATAAATCCTTATCAGTCCAATGTGGCATTCCGTACGAAAGACATGATGAAGCAGGCTTTGAGTCCGTATGAATAATGAGTAAGCTAAAGTAACGTATTTCACTGTGGTTTAACTTCATTTTAGATTTTATCCGGCAGGAAATAAGTGTATTTTGAAAACAGGAACACCAAGATGATTTATATTTTATATCTGGCGTCAATATTGATCTCACAATTCTGCAGGATGGTGTAGATTGGGGCAAGATGGTGTAGAATGGTACAGAATGGTGCAGGATAGTGTAGATTGCTGCAGGATGATACAGTATGAAGTAGGGTGTTTCAGATTGGATCAGGATAGTTCAGGATGGTGCAAGTTAGTAAAGGTTGATGCAGGTTAGTGAAAGTTGATGCAGGTTGGTGCGGATTGCTGCAGTAAAGTGCAGGTAGGTGCAAGTAAGTGCAGGATGGTGAAAGTTGGTGCACGATGGTGCAGTTTGGTGCAGTAGGGTGCAGGATACTGCAAGTTAGTGTTGGTTGGTGAAGGTTGGTGAAGGTTGGTGACAGTTGGTGCAGATTAAAGCAGGATGGTGCAGGTCGCTGCATTTTTCTGCAGGTCAGTTCAGGATGGCGCAGATTGGTGCAGGATGGTGCATGATGTTGTAGGTTGGTTCAGGATAGTGTAGGATGGTGCAGGATGGTGAAGGTTGGTAAAAGTTGGTGCAGCATGGTGCAGGATGGAGCCGTTTGGTGCGAGATGGTGCAGACTGGCCCAGAATGGTGCAAGCTGATACAGAATGATACAAGTTGGTGCAGGATGATGCAGATTGGTGCAGAATGGAGCAGGACTGTGAGGGATGGTAAAAGTTAGTGCAGGATGGTGCAGATTGGTGCATGTTGGTGCAGGATGTTAAACGAAGGTACAAGTTATAGTACATGTTGGTCAAGGTTGGGGCAGGATAGTGCACGTTGGTGCAGACTGCCGCAAGATGGTGCAGGTAGGTGCAGGTATGAGCAGGATGGAGCAGATTGGAGCAGGATGGTACAGGATTGTGCAGGATTGTGCAGGATTGTGCAGACTAGTGCAAAATTGTGCAAGCTAGTGCAGGTTGGTGAAGGTTGGTGCAGGATGCTGCAGTTTGGAGCCAATTACTTCAGTATGCTGCACGTAGTTTTAGGTTAGTGCAGGATGGTGCAGATAAATATGAGATGTTGTTGTTGTTGTTACATAGATAGAAATACACATTATATCCGTCCGTCATTTTGAATTTCTTTTAAAAACCGTGATCTGCCCCAGAGGGGGGAATCTGGCTCCTTTTTCACAAGAAATTCATAACAAGGCGTCATCCTCCGTACAAGGCGTCATCCTCGTTGAGGGCAGTAGTGTTGTTTCCGACCTTGGGTGTGTGGCCGAAGTCTTTAGTGATTACTTTGCCAATATTATTCAGTTAGAGCATAGATCTGACACTGACCACACTGACCATCCTAGTATCCTAGCAATAAGCAATCTACGTTTCTCAAGTGAGTTTAATTACTCCCCAGTCAGTACTTCATATATCCGTAACATCTTAGACCACCTTAATCCGAGAAAGGCAGTTGGGGTAGATGGCATTTCACCACGAATCTTGCGTTTAGGATCCCCAGTTCTTGCCGAAGAGGTGACTAAGTTGATCAACTTCTGTATTCTGAATCGCTCATTGCCGTCTGAATGGAAGTAAGCGCGCCTTCCTCCTGTCTTTAAACGGGGGATTGACACAGACAAAGCAAACTACCGCCCTGTCTCAATATTAACTTCGCTATCGAAGGTATTTGAGAAAGTTATCTACGACCGAACTTGGAATGCATTTCATAGCGTTTTGTCCTCAAACTTATCTGGATTTCTGAAAACTCACTCTTGCTGCACTGCATTGCTTAAAATGACGGAAGATTGGAGGAACAGTATTGATAACAAGGAAGCTGTAGCGGCGGTCGCTGTAGACTTGAGCAAAGCGTTTGATGCCATAAACCACAGCCTCCTGCTCGCAAAGTTGAAGGCCTATGGCTTTTCTCCACATGCCTTGGGACTGATGTCCATCTACCTGCTAGGTCGTCAACAATGTGTCAGATTAGAAGGCGTATGCTCTAACTTCAAAACAGTTAAATCTGGCGTTCCTCAAGGTTCACTATTGGGGCCGTTGCTGTTCAACATATTCATTAATGACTTGAATTTCTGTGTTCCTAATATCTCATTGCGGCTGTACGCTGATGACACGACTGCGTACCTGTCTGATGTATCTCCCACTATTCTGGAATTTTCCTTCAACAAAGATCTTCAGACTCTTTCGTCGTGGTTTGAGTCTAACCATTTAACAGTGAACGGCAAGCATTATCTGTCAGACCCTGTGCCTATCATTATTCTTTATTTCTTAATAATGCTAGAATATAATTTCTCCGATCTATGAAGATTCTCGGAGTTACTCTAGACAAGGACCTATCCTATAAAGAACACATATCAGATCAACAAAGCCTACGCGAAGGCCTCTGCACTGAGAAGAATAAGGCGTTTTCTTCCTCATGATGCAATGATACAACTTTATAAAGCATTTATATTACCTCATCTCGAATACTGCAGTCCTTTCTTTGTAGGCATAGGTACGGGTGAACGCAACCGTCTCGAAGATGGCAACTGTTATATTTTGAGAACATTAATCGGGCACAACAAGTCAATGTCATACGACGAGCTGCTCACTACGGCTAGCATGAAATCCTTATATTGTAAGCGCTTACACCAGGCGTTAATACTTCTTTTTAAATGCTTAAATGGTACGGGACCTACTTATATTGGAAGCCTTTTTAAATACATGTACAGGCATACACCGTATAGGCTAAGAGGCGAGGGCGTGAATTTGGAATTACCTAACTTTAATCTTAAATTTAAGAAGAATTCTTTCACTTATTCATCAACTAAGTTATGGAACAGTTTGCCTTTTCAAGTGCGTCTTTCAAGAGAGGCTAATGACTTCAGAAGTAAA